GGAGGAAAAACACCCACAAACCTACTATCTTGGTGTTTTTGTTGTTGTTATTCCTTTCTAAAGTTTGTTTGAATGTATAAGTATTTTCACAAAGTTGTAATAATATAAATAAAATTTTCTTATCACATTAATTTACTTAAACATTTAACCATATTTCTAGTTTTATAATCATTTTATTGATTATATAAAGTATTCCATAAGATATCTTTACCGTAATTTAATAAATCCCCAATTGTTTCACTATCATAATATTCTAATTTTAATTCTAACATTTTAATACACAGTTTTTTCCCCCTCTTCAATTATCTGGATTATTTCCTCTGGATAAATTTACTGAAAAATTGTATAATTAATGGGAATAAAAGTTTGTATTACTTTTGATATGTATTGGAAATTGCATTCCAAAAACTTTTACATTGCCGTCAAAAATAGATTTTTACAGGCGGACACTGGATGTGTTTCAAAGTCAAAGATGGTTCTGTTAAATATTGATTTGGGGAGCACACAGTTAAATTTCAAAAAAAAAGAGACCTTGCCTTTGTAGAAATACATACTGAAAATATTAACAATGAGATGAAGCGATCTCTAAGATTTGCTTTCAAGTAATCTAGAAGGGAGAGGAGCAGGGTGGGTTATAGAGGAGATAAGATGGACCTTGTTTTTATAATTTTTGAAGCTGGGTTATGGGTACATGGGAGTTTATTATATTGATAGCTTCACTTCTGTGAATGTTTGAACTTTTCCTATAATAATAAAAAAAAAGGGAAGGATGGAAGGAAGAAAAAAAATTATGACCCTGTCTAAACCTCTGATGTTTAATTTTTAGTGTTCTCTGAGCTTTTACATTTCTCTCTGCTGTCACTTTTCTTCACTATCTATATTAGGTCCAGCTATCATATAAGGTTCATTTATTTGGGAGTGTGGGGATGGGGTATAGGTAAACGCAGAAACTTTTCAGGAGAAGATAACAGCGACTAACTAGTTCTGAGCCTCTTCCTTTAAATCAAAAGCATGGCCTTTAATTAAAAAAAATAATAAGTTGGTCATGGTGTGATCACACTTTCTGATGTAAATTTTTCTAAAGAATATTCCCGATTAGAAACCAGAATATCAGTGTCATTCATCAGCATTTATCAAATGTTTACTTGGGAAAACTCTACTGTATGCCTGAGAAATTAAAAAAAGAAGAGAACAGTCTATTTGGAGACACACAGTAAATTCCCAGTGATATTTAAATGTAATAACTTACGAAGGAGCGTAAGCACTATACTATTAGTATGAGTTTATTATATTAACTAGTATTAGATTGCACATTTATTCTTTTACAGATACTGAGTGCTTATATTAATGTTAAAGACATAAATGGAAATTTCACAATCTTTGCAAACAGCCCAGTCACACAGGTGTCATATTTCATCCGTAATCCTTTTTAAAATTGATGTCTTTACTGCTTCATCTTCCTCTCTGACTTAATCAGTTGTATAAGCCGTGACTTGTCTTTTTTCTCTGGTGTCTACAGAGGAATAAATAATCAGAAAGATCATGCTATGGGACCTTCTTAGACAAAGTTGTTTTATTACTTTGTTATACTTAGTGGCTAGGATTCAAGACTGACATGCTATTTCAAATTGCCTATAGTAGTGAGAAACAGAGTATTTTATCAGTACTAATAGAAATATCCATATTGCTTACCTTGCTGTGTTTCTGAGTCCAGCACGCCCCGCAGCTGTGTAGCAGTATTGTTGACGCGCTTTTTCATCTGGGTGTTTCTGGTGGAATGTGATGACTGACAGACTTTGCTAGCCTCTGCTTGGTCCCTCTGCCTGTCGGGTTTATAGACTGTTTCTGCATGGTTTAGTTCTCAGAATGCTTTTCTTTTCTAGATTAGTATAAAATTAGTACATATTAAATAACAGAATTTGAAAGATTAATAAAGTGGTAAAACTTATTTAATTTTCTGTTCTTCATTGTTGAAAGTGCTATACAACTGAGCTAATTGAATTTAGTAGAGAAGATGGTTCTTTGATGGCAGCTCTCAGATTTGGGGGTTTTGTCTTGTCAGCTATTCCAGATATTGTCTGCTTTAGATTCTGTTGCATTTGTACCTCCATCTGTTGCTGATTGCCTTGTTTAGGTTCCCAAGAGATATAAATCCAAATATATTTCCAGCCAAATGTGGGGTTTTTTTGTGTGCTATTAATTCCTCTCCTTTTTATCACTATCTTTCTTGCTGTCATGGAGAATTATCTTGATAATATAAAAACCTTAAAGCCCAACTTGACTCCTTTCCCTTAAAGTTTAGATGAGAGTCTTCCATGCGTCTTCCTCTGGATTTTGTTCTAATGCCCATTGATTTCTCTACAACAAAAACACCTCAGAAACAGGAGAAATCAGTCTGGTATAATTTTGTAGCAAGACCGCAGGCTTTAGAATTAAGATAGTCCTGATGTTGTGAACCCAAAGTACCACTTACTAACCATGTAACCCTGGGCAAGTCACTTAATCTCTCCAGATATTTTCACTGGTGTAATGTGAGTATGAGTACATAATTTATGGATTGTCATAAGTGTTAAATGAGATAATGCATGGAAAGCACTTGGCGTAGTGTCTGATGAATGGCAAAAACTTACTAAATGGTAGCTTTTCTTATTAACAATAATAATTTCTGTTGTTATCGGATTGGTAGAGGATACAGAACTAAGATGCTAGCTAGGAGACTTGTAAAATCTAAAGGTTCTGCCTTATTATTTTCCTAAAGAAGGGCTAAGTGGGGTATTACTTTATTTCTGTCCCAGTGGGTCAATTTGCACTTTGATGTATACTGGGACCCACCATGTAGGGACATGGGAGAAAAATAAAAAAGCATGTGTAGTCAGTAGATCTGAACTAGGTAAGGATGGATAAGTAAGATTTCTATAGATGTGTAGGGGTTAGGGTATGGAATACATAATATAGGTTTAGGGAATACTGTTGAACAAAGGAGCTGAACAAAAAATTGTAGAATTTTCGGGGGACAAACTTAATCCCCTATGCTGGTGGTACAAGGTATATATGAGAGCTGTGAAGAGAAGGCAAGTAGTGAAACACTGAGAGGAATTTGTAGATGGTCTCAAATGCCATGCTAGGAAATTTATTTTATTCTCTAGGCAATACTGAACTGTTAAAGATTTTTTGATTGTGGGTTATATCACTAGGAGGTTTAGATTTCAGAAAGGTCACTTTATATAAACTGGATTAGTTGGTATGGACAATAAACATGGGTCACCATCTCCAATGCCTACAGTAGCCGGACAAGATATGTAAATAACTGAAACACTTAGTCTAAGACAAAAGGATGTAGGGGGTGAATGTCCAGTCCAAAGAGGACAACTTCAGCTCTCAGTAGCTTTTTCAATTCAGAACCTGGGCTTAGTGCTTGCCAGTTAATCTTTTTTCAAGAATCTGTAGAAATCAAAATATCTGTCTTTCGCTTTTTAGATTTGGCAACTGATATATGAATTTTGAAAATACATTGTGATGGTCAAACAGAGCACAATTCGCTGGTTGGATTTTGCCTGTGGACTGCATTTGTGATCTCTGGACTAAATGTGAGACTATTAAAACTGTGTAGATGAGAGGTAACTGGAATAGTAGTTACGGGGCTGCCAGAGAAAAAATATAGGTAGAAATAAGTTCGGAGAGAATTAGCAAGTCTTAGGGACAGATTTGATATGGAGAAGAGAAAATGAAAGTGAACTTTGAGCTTCAACAATGTAGCAAAGGTTAAGGGGAGAAAGTGTTTTTTGAGGAAACAAGTGCAGTTTTTGGATACACTGTGTGGAATATACTGGTGTAGTCACCTGTAGAGATGATCAATAAATAGGTAGTTGAAAATGTAAACCTGGAGATCACGAGAACTGCTGAGGCTACACTAGGAGATCTAGAAGTCATCTGTATTCAGATGGCATTTGCAGTTATGGCGACAGTTGAGATCTCCAAGGGAGAAAGTGTAGAATATAATGAGGGTCAAAGATACAGTACAGCTTAGGAGACTGGAAAGCTATTGGTGGTGTAAGGAGGAAGAGAAGCCTGTGGAAAAAAATAAATGCCTAGGATATAGAAAGACCAGAGTTGTACAACATCATGGAGGCCTCAGGAGGAGAACATTTCAAAGTAGGAAGACGTATTCAGTAATTTTAGGTAATGTGGAGACCTCAAAATGGTTAAGGCCTGGGAATAGGCCAATAGATTTGATAATTAGAAGTTATTGGTGCCTTATAGGAAAATAATGGGGGACACAATAAATTCAAATGATGTAAAAAAAACTTCTCTTTTGAGAAACTTGAGAATTGAAGGAATGAACTGGAATCATTACTTGAAGGGAAATCAGGGTCAATATATATATTTTTTTAAACTGAGTAGGGAACTGAATATGTATATAGTTAAAGAAAGAGGAACAATGGGGCTGGCCGAGTGGCGCGATGGTTAAGAACTGGCTTGGGACGCCAGAGGGCCCCGCTTCAGATCCCACATATGAGGGCCAGTGACACTGCCCTCCACAGCTAAGATGCTGAACAACAGCTCAACCTGGAGCTGGGCTGCCGTGAGTCACTGGCGACGGCGTAGGCTGCAGCCCCTGTGGCAGTGGGTTGCCATGGGCTACCGTGTGTAGCCAGCAGCCAGCGTGAGCTGCCAGTAGCCGCTGTGAGTGGCCGTCCAGAAGCCGGCGACTGATCTGCCTCCCCCGGGAAGAGCGCAATGATGGTGCCAACTTGGGCCAGTGAAGCAACACCCTCCACAACTAGACTGAAGAACAAAAAAACAACAGGAACTTGTCTGTTCCCCTTCCCCCAATTCCCCAGTGCTGTTCCCATTCCCCAATTTAAAAAAAGAAAGAAAAAAAAGAAACAGGAACAATTAAGAGGGAGAGATAGAGGATGAAAGATGTAATAGTCAGTTTGGGCTGCCATAACAAAATACTATAGATGGTGGTTAAACAACAGAAATGTACTGTATTTCCCCATGTATAAGACGCACGCTTTTTCGAAAAATTTGGGGTCTAAAAACTGGGTGCTTCTTATACAGTGGTTGTATGAACGCAAAAACAAGCGCAAAAAAAGCGGGAAATGCAAGTTAAAAAAATCCACAACCACTGTATAAGACACACCCAGTTTTTAGACCCCAAATTTTTCGGAAAAGCGTGCGTCTTATACATGGGGAAATACGGTATTTTTCTCACAGTTCTGGAGGCTGGGAAATCTAAGACCAGGGTACCAGCCCATTCAGTTTTGGGGGAGGACTGTCTTACTGGTTTGCAGGCAGTCACCTCACTGTGTCCTCACATGGAGGAAAGAGCAAGTGAGAGAGCTCTCTGGTGTTTCGTCCTACATGGCCATTAATCCTGTCATATCAGGGTCCTGCCCTTATGACTTCATTTAACCTTAATTACCTCCTTATATGCCCTATTTCCAAAAACAATCATACGGAGGATTAGGGCTTTAACATATGAATTTGGGGGGACATGATTTAGTCCATAGCACAAAAAAAAGGGGAGATGATTGATAGAGCAGAATTCTCAAGGATATACAAAGATAGGACCATGAACATCGGTTAGCAACATAAACTCCTCTCTATAGCAGAAGAGGAAGAGCTGTAATGAAAGGACAGAAACACTTTCAGACTTGACAGGCATTTTGGGAGTTTGCATCAGATGGCTTTGATCTTTGAAATGCTGCATTCTCTACCTCCATGGTTTGCTGTTACCTATCTTTCAGAGTCATCTGATAGTTACTTTATGTATTCTGTTTAGGATTTTTAGTTGTAATCAGTAGGAAAGATTGTATGGAGTGTGCTTGCTCTGTCTTAACTAGAACCAGAGCCCCTCTGTGTAATTTTTAATACTTTATCCAATCTGCTCCATAAGATTGGATAGTTATTGAGAATAATACCTGAGAATAGTGTCACTCTATATATCAGCATTTCTGGATCCAGCATACAATATTTGATATATGGTTTAAATTCAATGAAACACCCCTATTCTACTGTTTTCATAACTTTTGGTATTATTTTTATTAAAGCACAGCATCATTTCTGCCTTAAAGCTTGTGTAGCTTCACAACCATTGACAGAAGTTATCTTCACATTTAGATTACACTTTGAGTCTCTTTATGGTTAACAGATATACGTGTACTTATAGGTTTCATTTAGATTACTGCTTTGTTTTGCCGTGCTGAGACATTTTTGTTAGAGAAGTGTCTTCAGAGTCAGAAAAGGATAAAGAAAGTGAAACATTCTTTCACTTGTAAGATTTTGCTTCCTTCACAAACACACTTACCAAATTGTTTTAACCATACTGTGAATACTCAGATCATCTCAGTGGCTGTGGAAGCAGCTGGTTATGTTAAGGATGTCATTGAACAGATGCTCAAAAGTTTTAAGGAGATGCAATCTATAGTGGATAGAAAGGATGACAAAATGCAAAAGGAACTTTTTCCCCCCAAAATTGCAACAGCTTTGCGTGCAGTGGTTGAGAAAAGCACCAATGTAAGTAAAGGAGTTGCATCAGTTCGCCAAAGAAGGCTTCCAGAATGTCCGTATTCCAGTCATTGTCTTTGCTGAATGGTGGTAACAATCTTGGGAGTTTGGAATCTTCTCTTTCATTCTTGATGAAGTGTCCCATCATGAATCTTCAGTTAACGTGACTTTTATAGAAAAGACACCAAAGAGTAATCAGATGCCACCACATCTTAGAAAAGCTGAAGTGCAGGTTCATCCAAGCCACTACAGTGGTCACCTTAGAAAAGTTGCAGGATGCACTGAAACCTGAGAATGCCAAGAATACCGTGGAGTCAGCTGCAGATTTGTTAGGGCTATGTCGGAACTATGGGACCAGTCTTAGATCTCCTCCAAAAAGTCATAAAGACTATAGAAACTAGTATTTCTGGGTTTAAGAAAGCAAATGAATGATAGGAGTGCAACAGAAGTGCTCATTTCTGTCAGAAAATCAACTCAAATCCTGTTGAGTTTTCACAGCCCTTTTAAGACCTTTGATGTCCGACATGTGGTCTGTTGGGACATTGGTGCAAAGGGTAGTCACTTGGCAAACCATTACCTCAAGTTTTGCTTTATTCAAGTAAAAATAAAGAAAGCCTACTTGAAATGGTAGCTACTAAAAAGAATACGTATATTGTTTAAAAATCAAGGTGATAATACATTTGAGGATGTTTTGAGACATATTTCATCTTAAAGGATAATTGAAATAACCTTAAACTAATTTCCACTTTTAGCAATTCTATTTCTAGTTATTACAGTGCAAAGTCGAGGTAAATGTAAACATCATCATTAGATAACCTGGCGGAAACAACTGTTCAGGGTCAGGAAACATATAAAATAAACCTCTGCATTTTTGTCACTCTTATACCAATTTGTATATACACCAAGGCTTTGTTAAGCAGTCACTCAATACTTTTGATACGATTTATCCAGAAATAAAGAACAATGAATGAGGAGTAATCGAATTTTCTTGCTTAAATGAATAAGACCAGAGTAGATGATTTATTCTCCTTTGTCCCATACTGAGGTCTTAGGAGATATTTGAGGCTGAAAAATGGAGGTGCTCTAAGCTTTCACAGTGGAAAGACCGTAATGCTTATAGAAGAGGGAGGGCTGAGAGGTGCTTGTATTGGGGAAGAAAAGTTAGCCAAGCCCATCTTCCTACCTGAAAGTCTTTGGCTTTCATGCACTGTAAATAGTGTATGCTCTCAAGGTTGTCCTATTTCACATGATACCTAATAGGAACTTTGTTGAAAATAAGAAAATCAATAACTGTAGTTCTTTATTGGAATTTTCCTTCTGAAAATGCCCAAGTTGTTTTCCTCATTTAAACATTTTCTCATTTAAAATTCTAAATCCCATTTTTCTTCTTTAAAAAGAAAACATTTCCCTATATCCTCTGTTCAAAGAAAAAAAGTCTGAAGCATGAGAAACTAAAAGAGAAAAAGCTTGAATGTGAGCATTTGATGGAGAGGAGGAAGAAGGTACTCCATGTACTTTTGAGCCATCTGTGCAGTCACTTCCACCAAGGTTGCCAGATAACCTTAGTCATGGCTACTTTCAGGTTGCACTTTTGTTAGCCCGAGCCAAGAGCTCAGCTCCCAAGCCAGAGCTGTCATTGTAATTACTACTGTAATCTTAACTAAGCACTCTCTTGTTCCCTAATAGTAAGACCTTCAGAAAGTCCCTTGACAAGGATTAAGGGGATGTTGACCATTTCCAGGGCTTAGAGGGCTTGGGAAAAGCATGAGTTTGAATACATGAACTCTGCATTTTGCCTTAGTTCCAGTGCTGATACCGCGCTCATTTGCACTAGGTATCGACTAATAGCTGTCTTATTTTAAGGAGAATCTTGGGCTGATCCATTTGCTACCCTCCCCTCAAAAATACACATCTATAGATGCAGCTCTCCCTTTGCTACTTTTTCTGAATCTGTATGTGTTCAGGGTTTCTTCCTCTTCTCTTGGTCTTAGGATTGTGTCCCAGGATGTTTCAACAGCTGGGGGGATTCACATGGAAGTGAGTGGGACAAGGACCAACAGAAATTCTGGGGGAGCCTTTTTGTGAAATGACTGAAACAATGACTGGTGGCAGTTCAAGGGAAGTCGCACCATATGCCAGTGGGAAGAGCGGCTGGTGTTAGAGATGGATGGTGCCTACTTCACTAAAGATGTGTGGTTTCAGATGCCGGGGGCTCTGGTGAGGCTTGCCATCACCCGCAGTACCTCTCACAGACATTCTCCTGTCACTGGGCACCACCAGTCTGCCTCCCTGATGACTTCTTGTCTGTTGGTGCTGCCCAGCTTGTGGAAGTGTATTGGGTTGTTGGAAAAAGTCATGACGTATTTTTTCTATGTTTTTCATTGCAAAAATGCGTCATGACTTTTCCAACAACCCAATATTAGAGGAAAGCCATATTCTCAAACCTATTCCTCTTAAATAATGTTTCTCTCAAATACTTTGGTTTTGGGTTCCTCTCATTTACTCTCAATTCAATCAGGTTTTAAAGAACAAAGTAGGGAAGGTGCACTTTTTATCTTATGCCTCGTCTCATTCCTCCTCTAAGGCCATGAGCACAGTATGGACTAAGTGTTTGAATGAAGCATAAGTGGGGAGAAAAGATAACTGTTATAAAGCTCAACAAAACAAAACACATGGTCATTTACTACAAAATAATAAAAGGAAGAAAGACAGGATGTCCTGTAATACTTGTAATACGTCCCCCCCAGCTCCACCCCCACACTTTTCGTCAATGGCCAATGCATGCTACATCTTGGTATCCCTGAAAGCATCCAATCCAGCTACATGTCTGGTGAATTTTACCAAATCAAGAACTAGCTCATTCAGTGTAAGTCCATTTGATTCAAATCATTAGACAACTTAAGCCAAGAGTCCTGATTCTCCAAGCAAATCAAACTCTGTAGAAATTTTCTTTCCCTGGATTTATTTTTTTAAGAGTAAGTAGAGAACTTCAGGACAAGCAGATGGGCATATTAGAATGCTGTCTTATAAAGATAAAGTAATAAATGGAGCCAGAGTATTTTTTATATACACAAAAGGAGAGGTACATGTGTAACTTTAATAAAATTACTGTAGAAGTAAATACTATACAACTGCATAGGGTAATCTCTTAACAATCCATGTGAATTTATGCACATATCCGTTAATCTTCAAAAGATATCCCAGACTTTCAAAGGAGCAGAAATTACAGAGAATTTTTTTGTAACTGGCCTCCTAAAATTTTATGAATTTAGACTTTTAATCAGTTTAAATCAATGGTCTACTTTATAGACTTCTTGTTCAAAAACTTGGGACTATAAGCAGAGATCGAGGGAATGCAAACTAGGTATATTTCTCCTTACGTAAACCCACAAATCTACTTGGTTCAAGAGAATCATTTCTATCTCCAGAGATTTGTTCTGGAAAGCAGCAGCAGCAGGGGGAAGAACTAAGTTATCTTTAAAAACCTTGGTTATTCCCTTAAGGATTATAATCAAATATGTCAGAAGCCTGGAGGGCTTATTCAACACAGATTTCTGGGTTGCTGATTCCACAGATTTGGGTTAGGCCTTACTTAGAATTCACGTTGCTAACATGTTTTTCAGGGCTGCTGGTGGTGGTGATATTGGGGTGCTTTAAGAGTCACTGATTTAGGGGACCGACAGAGTGGCGCATTGATTAAGAGCTGGCTTGAGATGCCAGAGGGCCCCAGTTCGGATCCCACCTATGAGGGACAGTGACACTGCCCTCTACAGCTAAGATGCTGAACAACAGCTCAACCTGGAGCTGGGCTGCCGTGAGTCGCCGGCGACGGTGTAGGCTGCAGCCCCTGTGGCAGTGGGTTGCCATGGGCTACCGTGTGTAGCCAGCAGCCAGCGTGAGCGGCCAGCAGCCGCCATGAGCGGCCGTCCAGAAGCCGGCGACTGATCTGCCTCGCCCGGGAAGAGTGCAATGATGGTGCCAACTTGGGCCAGTGAAGCAACGTCCTCCACAACTAGACTGAAGAACAAAAGGATAGCAACTTGTCTGTTCCCCTTCCCCCAATTTCCCAGTGCTGTTCCCATTCCCCAATAAAAAAAATAAAATAAACTCACTGATTTAGGAGAATTGTCTTACTCAGAAAACTGATTTTTCATGGAGTTCAAATGCTAATTTAGACTGGCTTTTTAGCTTAACTGAGTGGTTTCAACTTTCACTCCATTCCACACTATTCCTTCACTCTGGCAAACTCGTCTATTTTCTGACCCTTACATACATTGATCATTTCTACATCTCACCTCTCTTTTCTACTCTTTCCTGCCCATCTGAGCCCCCTCTTCCCCCACCCCCCCAAACCTCTTCTCTGATAGAAAGCTATATTCAACCCCAGGCCAGAGGCATCTCACTTTTTTTCTAAACTCAGATGCTTATTATATGTACTCGTTTTGGGCACTAAGCTCTTGATACACACTCATGCCTGGTATTTTTTCTCCCCCTTCTCACCTCTTGCTCTTAACTCCTGTGTCCCAAGGACTCACTCAAGTGCTGCCTCCTCCTTGAAGCCTTCCTGGCTTCTCTTGCCAGGAAGGAATCTCTTCTGAACTTTCATGAATGGAATACTTGATTTTCCCTTTTCTTTTGGTATTTCCTGGGTGACTTATGTGTGTTCGTTTCTTAATTTTTCCCAAGAGACTATAAATTCATGGAAGATCTGGCCTATGGTATTCAAATTTTATTACCCAGAGTATTTTGTAGAGAGTACATATGGCTCAGTAAATGCATTTATATGGCACAGAACAAATATATACAAGATGTTGGGAGGCCATTCCTAACATATTTTACCACTGCCTCACCAACACAAGCTCACTGCCAAGCTTGTTCCTGGAGCCATGACCCCAGGACTCATTACGAGGTAGCCACTAACCTGCCAAGTCCATGTGCAATGAATCATAGAAATTATCTCTATGGAAATTCTGTGCTTGCCTTATTGGGTGTAGAGGCCAGTACAAGCTAGGTGACAGATGTGTGTACTTGGCCCTGTTATTTTCAAAATCCCAGTGTAAAGAATGATAACACTAGATGGCTAAATTCTCTGCCAGGTGATTTTATGCAGCTAGGTCCCCATTGAGCCTCTTCTCTCATGGGACAGGCCCTTCAGGAATTCTGGGGCTAGATGAGCTGATTCTCACTTTTGTTGTTTCTTATGCAAACCTCAGAGGGGCTAAGTAGTGTGGACTTTGGGAATTCAAGGTTATGAGGCTAACTATCCCCTTCACTCCATTTAGCCCAGTAGTCTTTGGAGATGAGATAGAACAATCCATCCCCCATTGCCCCGCCGATATTGTAATACCAGAGAGAAGAGCTGGAGAACATTCCCCGCTGTGAAGTGTGGTGATTTATACTTCTTATTAATTGTTTGCCCATAGCGGGGACTCAATTTATCTTTGATTTTTGATTGATAATTAGGTGGAGATTTTTTCGACTTTATCTCCACACACATCCACATGCTTCCCTAATGTATGTAAATTTGCAATGGATACTTAAAATCCAATTTGCCACAAAGTTCTCTGTAAATTAATATGAGTTTAAATTTTAACTTTTGTAATGGTTTAGAAACGTGTACAACACCCCATTACTGGCAGTGAGTGAGATTTCACTAACATCTTTCTCTTGTATTTCTCAAGTTTCCATGTTTCCTCCCATCTGAGACTACACTAATTTGGTCTTGGATACTGATAAAAAAATCTCTGATGAAAATTCCCTTTTTGGTTATGTCTCTGGGGCTCAAAGCTTTTCCATTTGATGAAGACTTTGCCCTTGGCTTTCTAACTCAAGCTTCTCTGATTTGTTCCTATTTAGGACCAAATAAAACATAAGGGAGTGTCCTTATAGTCATCATAACTCCTTCAGTTGCTTGAGACAGAAAGTTTTATTCAAATTATTAAAGCAAAAATATAGTTTATTGATTCATGTAATGAAAAAGCCCACAGTATTTAGTTTCAGGCACGGTTGGATCTAGTGGTTCATGCACTCTCATCCGGACTCAGTTTCTTTTCACTCCTCAGCTTTTCCTTCATTGTGTTAGCTCCATTCTCAGGAAGGTAGGGTCTCCCTTCCTGGGGGCAAGATAGCTGCTAGCAGCTCTAGGCTCACACTCTGTTTTCATTAAGCTCCACTCAAAAAAAAAAAAAAGTTCCCACCTCACTCCTAATCCCAGTGCCAACAAAGTACCCTGAAGTTATCTCATAGACTGACAGGGTCATTTTCTGTGCCAGCATGGAGCTCTGTGTCCATGGAGAAGAAATATACTGAGTTACAAGCCCACTCTTAGGCAGTGGGCTGAGCCAGCTCTGCATGAGTTGGTGGGGCAGAGTGTTTCCCCAAGGGCGTTCAGGGTGCCCTGACTGGAATAAAGCAAAAGGGTACAGGAAAAGCAAATGCCAGTCTCCTTTATACTCCACTTTTAGAAGAGATGATGGCACTCATCAAAACAGAGAGAGCAGCAGTAACTACAGGAGCAGGGATACACCTTATGCTGGAAGCTGTAAAAACAAACAAAAAAGTTAGAGATGTTTGAGCTAGCAGACATTTTTTTTAACTACCTCATTTCTCCTTTGATTAACATTTTTAACGTAGAAAATTCCTAATAGAAATATTTGAAGTTAGCTACTTTTAAAGAAGTATTCTCTTAGATATTTCTAACTAACAGAACTCAGCTTGCTTGTTTTGCACATGATGAAACAGGCACCAAGAGGTTAAGAGATTTATTTCCGGTTACCCAGCTAGTTGGTGGTAGAGATCCCCCGATTTTCAGTCTTTTATTATCATCATCAGCATTATCACCATCGCCATTATCCTCATCTTAATTATCATCTTCAACTCCATTATGAAAGCTTAACATTGATTAAGTAATTTATTCTGTGCTAAGATCTGTTTTAAGCACTTGCTATACATTAACTCATTTAATCCTCACAACAAATCTATGAGGTAATTATTCTTGTTATCCTCATTTTTTAGTTGATAAAACTGTGACACAGATGTGAAGAAACTTGCCTAACGTCACAACCTAGTATGTAGTGTAGGCAGCATTCAAACTCACGCCTAACTCTATATTTTCAAGCATTGAATTTTCTCTCCATGTAGTGTGTGTCCTCATAGAATTTTTTTATTATAAGGTGGGCAAAAAGTAGTCACACAGTCTTGCTTGGTGTGTGTGTGTGTACTGTCTACACGTACATGGTCTTCACAGGAAATAGGGAAAGGTTAACAGCCAGTTAGATATGGCTGTTGGAAGCAAAACTTGAATACAAAATAATTATTGTCAGGGAATACAATGGGATGTGGATATAAAATGAGATGAAAGATGAAAACTTTTTTTTTTAAATGCTCTAAATAAAGAGTGGAATCTCCTCTTCAACCAGATTTCACTGATTATTAGGATAGAAAAGTTGTTTGAGGTAGGAAAACATTCAACTCTGTGATTGCCTCAATATTTGACCATATTTTTAACGGGATGACCAGATGATGGAGAAATATTTTCCCATTACTTTTGCATAATATATAAACTTTTTTGTTTCCTGGAATTTCTATTTGGAATTCTATCTATCTATCGATCTATCTATCTATACCAACAGTAATTTTCACTTACCCTCAATTTTCATCAATAAGAGTAGACAAGGAAAAGTAATAGTACATACATATTTCTAAGATTTTTTTCAGTTTGTGTTAAGTTTGTATTATCTGAATTCTCACAGGGACCTTGGAATCAATAATACCACTTTAGCAGGTCACTCATTAGAATGATTCTCAAACTTTTTTGTTTTGTTTTCTCTTCCCTGAGCTAGAGATCACAAGGAACTCCAACCCCACCTTTTCTCACTTTTTAATGGGATAAGATTCTACTGAATAGTTAACAGAAAATACTGATCCACAGTGAGACAATATAGCAGAGTAAGATTGTGAGTTTTGGAAGAGATTGGTCTTGGTGTTGAAGTTTTGCTCCTAGCTGTTTGACTTGGGCATGCCACAATAGTTACTTTCTTTGGGTCTCAATTTTCTCACCTGTAGAATGAGAACATCTCAAGGTTTTTGGAAATACTGTGATCACTACCAATACTCTGCATTTTACATCACTGCTATTATGATGATGCTCAAATAAGAGACAAACATATAGACATTACTAAGTTGTAATCATACTCATCTTTCAAAACCCCCTCATAAGCCCCCTTTCATGATAAGTAGGATATTTTAAAAAATCTTAATTTTATTTTCTCAGGTTAAAGTAGCTTTTCTAACTCTTGTTACTTTTTCTCAGCCTCTCTTATGGTCATTATCATTTCTACCTCTATTATTATATTTTCACAGACAATGTACTAGGGTTCCAAAAAATGTATACATTTTAAGAGATGTTATCTATGTATTGCTTTTTGAAGTTCAGTTGAATTACGGTAGCAATGTGTAGTGTGACCTTCCCTCAAAAGATGGCGTTAATCAAATGAATGCTAGCATCATTCATTGTATTACAATTTTAATACAGTTTTTTTCCCTTTCTTAAAATGTATATACATTTTTTTTTGCAACCTCTGTATTTAGGAATATAAATGAAAACATCTGTGAATTAAATTAATTACAATCTACAAAATCTTTTATTTGAGAATGCTTCACATTAATTTTACTTTTGTATTTGTCTTTACTTCTCTTCTAGACAACCCATCTAGTTAGTGCTTTTTATTTCCTCTGTACCCTAGTACAGTATTTTTCAAATTGGAGGTTGTAATTCATTAATGTTTGTGACATCAGTTTTGTAGGCCACGACCATCACTCTTTAATAATGTAATAAAGTAGGTTAGAATAAAAACCACTAGAGTTACATTGCATATGTAAAGATTAACTATTGTCTTGTTATATATACATTTGTGTGTGTGTATTTATGTATATGCAAAGTGAGTTATAATGTGAATCATCACAGTCACAGAAGACTGAAACTAATGAAAGGTTCTCAGTAACATTTTTGAATGGACAGATAAGTATTCTGAAAGCAATCTATGGAGAAAATTGTCCTGGACTTTTTGTTCAAAAATATGGGAAAGGGTCCTACTTTTGTAATTTAAAAACTGTTTGAATAATCTTACACAAACCATTAACCTCTCTAAATCTCAGCATTCACATTAGTATAGTGGGGTCAATAACCCTATGTACAGGGTGGTTGTAAGAATTAAACAGATAATGTGTGTTAAAGTCTTTGGATACTAAATTGCCACAGAAATGTCATTTTATTGGTGTGTTATAACCTAATTTTGGTCGTCTCTGCCTTAAAGTATACAGTCTGGGGAGAAATATATAATTATTACACTTTTTATTTCATGAAGTCTAAATCTGTAAATTATATGACTGTTCAGAAAGTAATAGTCAATCTCTTGAAAAAAAGCCAAAAAAGGTAAAACTGACATGCAGTATATCTGGTTAATGTAGTATTTGGAGACAAATGCTATCTATAGCCTCTTTCTGTTAAAATGCAGAGAGTAACAAACATTAATGTTTTAGAATGTTATCTAGAAAAAAGTTGGCACTCAAAAAATGGTAAGCATTATTTCTTCTGTCTCTTCCTTTGTTTCTATTCTTACTGTCAATATCACTGATGCACACATATGTGCTGTTAATCTATTATCCTGCTTCCATATGCAAAGTACTTTTCCAGAGTTTTTCAGTTGTGTTTGAGAGGGTGTGTATACCGCTTGCTATCACAACACTCCCTCTAGGAAAGTATTTTCCCCGTTTTATAAATGAAGAAACAGGCTCAGAGATTGTCATTTGTGTGCAAGGCCACATACTAGCTACTAACATATGCCCAGCTTTTACTGGCTCCGAAGCCTATTCTCTTTCCACTATGTTATGTGGTCTCCCAGATTTATTGACTTCCATGCTCATTCTTTCATCCATTTGTCTGAGACAGACACTACTTCAAGCTGAAAGTGATGCCACAAATAGGGAAAACTAATTTGAGAAAGTTGAAGCCCAGAGTCAAAGAAAACAGGAAACAGGAAGTGAAAATAAATCATAATGATAATAGTAGCTAAAAGTTTTGAGTACTTACATGTGTCACATACTATTTAATTCTAAGTGCTTTTACATGCATTGATTCATTTGATCATCCCCAGATTCTTTTTTTTTTTTTTAAGATTTTTTTTTTTATTGGGGGAATTGGGGGAATGGGAACAGTGCTGGGGAATTGGGGGAAGGGGAACAGACAAGTTGCTGTCGTCTTGTTCTTCAGTCTAGTTGTGGAGGACTTTGCTTCAC